TGCGACACTACGGCTTTTACAAATAAGTTCATTGAATTTAATAATCTATTTAAATTTCAAATAACAATTAATTATTATTGTATATGGCAAATAATCAAATAGAGATCCGATTTTTCAAAGTATAACTTTTAAATCAATAATGTATCGTAACACAGATTGAATGCCAAAAGAGAAAAAATTCTGGACTCTGATAAACATTTCACCAGACGACGCATGAAAAAAAAATAATTAAAAATTTTGTAACTTCTTCAATAATACAGAAATCGACTTAAAATTTGATGGGTATATTCTTGAATAGTTGTAGAATCAATTAAAATTATTTCCAGAAAGTCGATTTTTTTGACGCAATAAAGGAGGTTCCCCCCTTAACCGATGTACCTTGCGTATAGTTTCCGCTGGACATCTTTGCTTTGCTCACTGAGTTTACAACCAAAAAATATACATAAGCGGCCTTGCAAATGTGGTTTCGCAAATGACGCGCAGCTCTGCCGCATTTACCACGGAAAAAGAACGCAAACGACTTCATGTATATTCTTCTATTGGATTTTGTGACGTATTTCATGCCTTTTGCAAATTCTGGGCTACGAAAAGTACTTCATGTATCTTTTTCCGTTGCATTTCCTCATTTTTCGCGAATTGCAATATTTTCATTGTTAATTTTTTATTATAAATAATTAAAGTTTTTTATTTTAATTACGATAGTTAGATGCAGTTTTTCATTATGAATTTATTGATACCAAAAACTCAATTTTCATCAAAATGACCCTTATGTATCTTTTTCCGTTGTAGGGCAGTTCAGAGTTGCAACTTTTTCTTAATTGTACATTTTATTCTTTTTGTGAGGTAATATTTAATGAAAGACTTAATTATCGAGTCAAAATTGTGAACAATAAATTTATTATTATAAAAATGTTAAGTACAAAATTTTTTATTTACATCATTGAAATTACTACTGCGAGAGCTTCAAATTTAAAATAACAATTTGTTTAAACAACTGGTAAAATTGTAATTCTTAGATTTTTGTTAGTCACTAGTTACATTTGGCTTAGAAAAATGCCAAATTGAGAAAAAAATTGCGACTCTGCAGCTCAATTTGATAAAAAAGTGGAAGTTAAACAATAGTAATTTGTTTAAACAATTGGTAAAATTAATATTCTTGGTTAGTTGATAGTGACTGGTTACATTCGGCCTGAAAAGTTGTAAAATCGAGAAGAAATCGCAACTCTTTAGCTCAATTAGATAAAAAGTTGTGAATAAACAATAATAATAATTTGTTTAAACAAATTAGAAATTACATGGAATAATGTTTTAAAATGAATATTTGTGTTATTTATTCATAATCTACTCTGATTTTTACATGGCTCATAGGAAAAAAGGTAAGCTTTCGATTGGGATAGGTTAGAAAAAAATAAAAAACATCGATTTTGAGATATATTAAAATTAAGAATTTGACCTTGAATTTCAAGGTCAAATTGAAAGAAAACAACTTTTTTTTCATCACCAGCTTAAAGCCCGTGAAAATCTCTTTAACAATCACTATTCATACTTTAAATTTGATTAATTTTACTTATCATTATATTAAATTGAAAAAAAGATATTTTTAAAAAATCAAAATTTTGAAACTCCATAACTCAAACAATATTTTATCAAATTCAAAAAAATTTATATTTACACTTCTACTAATAATAGTAACATTTTAACAAAGTTTAGAGAAAATTCATTTTTTGACCTAGACAGTTGAGGAATTTTGCCCCATATACACTTTAACCTTTAATGCCCAATGGATCATACGCTGTTCCATAAACGTATTGAAAATAACATTACTTTTGACCAGGTAAGGCAATTTAAGTAAAAATTAGTCTCTCTAGGGGTTTTTGTGGTCGCTGCTTATAAATCTGCTAGGAAAAATAAAAATTAAAAATAGCGGATCAATTTTTAACCCCTTGGCTGTCAACGAGATATCCACTGTTTGGGCCAAAAGTGTGTTGAAAAAATGTTTAATGGATTTTTATGAAACTTGGTACCCTAATTACCCTGATTACGAATCTGAGATCAGTTTTTCGAAATTCAAAATGGCGGATCCAAGATGGCGGAAATTTTTTCAAAATTTATCGAATTTGCTTGAAACTGGTTACTCGGGGGTTTTAAGGGTCGCCGATTACGAATCTAACATTAGTTTTCCAAAATTTAAAATGGCGGATCCAATATGGCGGACAACGATATAAAAAATTGATCAGATTGACTTAAAACTGAATATTTGGGGATTTTCAGGGTCGGTGATTACGAATCTGAAATCAGTTTTTCAAAATTTAAAATAGAAGATTCAATATGGCAGAAAATTTTTTAAATTTTATTGAATTTGTTTAAAACTGGTTAATCTGACATCAGTGTAATAATTTTTGGTAAAATCAAATTTCGTTAAATACCCTGACATTAGCTGGTGAATTTAATTTTTATAGTTTATTAAATTTTTTAAATTCACCACCCCAGAATGTACCACAAGGAGGCTGCCATAGGATTTTACATTCCATTTTTTTATTTTTAAAAAATTTTTATATATATTTTAAAATTTTATTTTTTTATATACTACACTACCGTCGGGAATTATCAGTACGGCTGCACGCGCACAGCCCACAAACATACCAATCTTTAAATCACGATTTTTTTATAAATACAAATGTCAGAAAATTAACAAATATACCATTCGAAAGATTATTAAATTCTACTATTAATTATACATAACTGAAAATTTTAATAATTTATACAAAGATTGCAGCAATCGACAGATTGGACAAAAAAAATTAAAAAAATAAAATTTTTGGGAAAATTTTTTCAACTCCTGCATATTTTTTAAAAATTGTAGAAAAAATTTGAAACTCGCATAGGTGTGATCATTTAAGTCTCATCTTTAATTTAAGACCAAAAAAGTTCAAAAATTTTATTGGGTTCGTGAAATATCGTTATAAACGTACGAGCATGTTTTTTGACAAATGCATTGAATTAGTTGACTTTGAACAGTTTTTGACTGAAAATGCTCGGCCGTTTATAATGATATCTCGGTAACCGATTAAGATTTTTGAATTTTTTGGTCTTAAATTAAAGATGACACTTGAATGATCACACCTATGTAAGTTTTAAATTTTTTCTACCATTTTTAAAAAATATGCAGGGGTTGAAAAAATTTCCACAAAAATTTTATTTTTAATTTTTTTTATAAAATTTGTCGATTGTTGTAATCTTTGTATAAATTATTAAAATTTTAAGTTATGTACCATTAATCGTAGAATTTAATAATCTTTCGAATGGTATATTTGTTAATTTTCTGACATTTGTATTTACAAAAAAGTCGTGATTTAAAGATTGGTATGTTTTTTGGCTGTGCGCGAGCAGCCGTACCGATAATTCCCGACGGTAGTGTAGATTATATACTAGACCCGTCGTTACATGCAGCTAAGTAATACTAAAACCCCCAAGTAACTTTCAAGCCAATCCAATTAATTTTTTATTTGGTTGTCTGCCATATTGGATCCGCCATTTTGATTTTTGAAAAACTAATGTCAGTTTCGTAATCAGCGACCCCAAAAACCTCTGAGTATTACGTTTCAAGTCAATGCAATCAATTTTTATATTTTGTCGTCCGCCATATTGGATTCGCCATTTTGAATTTTGGAAGACGAATGTCATATTCTTAATCAGCGACCTCGAAAACCTCCGAGTAACCGGTTTCAGGAATATTTAAGAAGTTTTAATCACTTTTTTTAAGTTGCGCATATATGCGTCAGCGACAGTCAACGAGTTAAAAGTAGTTTACACCTTTATGATAAAAATTTAAAATTAGAAAAAAATTCGACATTTTAAATCTTTCATTTTGAATATTAAAATCTGAATACAGATTTGTAAGCAGCAACCACAAATACCCCCAGAGAGACTAATTTTTACTTAAATTGCCTTACGTGGTCAAAAGTTATGTTATTTTCAATACGTTTATGAAACAGCGTATGATCCATTGGACATTAAAGGTTAAAGTGTATTTATTTATTTATTTATTCATTTACGGGCATTGAGTCCATTCGTACATAAAGTACTAAAAATAATTAACAGTTATAAAGATGTTGTAAACATTAGACTGTGTTATTATTATAATTAAAGAACAATTTACGTAGATCACTAACGAAACCAGACAAAGAATTATTAAAGAAATCAAGCTGATCCGCATGGTAGTTAGCTAATTTACATATTCGTATCGTAGTTGAGTTATCTCAATAACATGTTCTCGAATAAGGTATCGCAAACGGCCGAACATGCCGTGATGGTCTTACAGGAGCAGAAAAGTTGACTAATGCTAAGATCTGGGAGCAATCGATTATATTATTTATAATTTTAAATAAGAAAAGCAAGTCATTATACAGAAATCTGGATGATATTAAAGGAATTTTGAAGCAAGATCGAAGGTTGTCATAGTCATGTGAATAAGGATCATATCTAACACTCATCTGCTTTGCTGCGAATCTTAAAAATCTATTTTGAACTCTCTCGAGCTTGATCAAATACACCTGGTTATACGGTGACCAAACAATTGATAAGAACTTAATATTAGATCTTACCAAGCAAAAATATCATGTTTTTAGGGCTGTTATGTTATGAAAACAAGACGCGTTTCTTGTTATAAAACCTAGCATACGCAATGCTTTGTTTCCCAACTCAGTCACATGTCGTGAAAAAGAGCAAGACTCGCATAATAGGATTCCAAGGTCTCGAATCTCAGACACTCTGGCAATTTCATTACCATCAATCGCGTAACAATGTCTCAAGATGATAGTACGTTTACTGAAAGAAATAACATAACATTTATTTAAGTTTAATGAAAAATTGGTTTTGGTGCACCAAACGTGTAGACTATTCAAGTCACATTGAAGACAAAGAAAATCAGCATGTAAGGTAATTGATTTATACATCTTGAGATCATCGGCAAACCAAAGGAAGCAAGAAAATTTAAACACTATCGAATGCTTTGGAAAAGTCAGCGTAAACGACGTCAACCTGAGTTTTACCTTCAAGATAGTTAAGAATGCTATCAGCAAATATACAAAGATTCGTATTAGCAGACCTTCCCCTCATGAAGCCATGCTGCTCCTCAATAATGTGATTTTTTATTTGACTATATGTAATATCATGTACTATGCTTTCAAATATTTTTGGTATTGAACTTAATAAGGTAATTGGTCTATAATTTTTTACATTATTCTTACAGTCGCTTTTATAAATAGGGACGATAATGCCTTTCTTCCATTCAAATGGAAATTCGCCAGTAGTAAGTGATTTATTAAACAGAATAAATAAAGGCTCAAGAAACGAAGAGCAGCATCCCTTCAAGAGTGCAGGTGTGATATAATCAGGACCGGCACCTTTTGAAACATCCAAAGTTCTCAATTTTTTCATGATATCACCCTTACTTATAGAAAGATTACTCAGGTCGACGATATCGAAAAAAGGATAGTTTTATAAATGATTTGAAGGCAAGAATTGGGGTTGAGTGTATACTGTTTGGAAATGTTTTGCAAATAAGTCCGCTATGCCCATACTTGTAGATTCCGTGACATCATCCAAATACATACTATTTGGTATTCGACTAGACTTTCTTGAAGAATTGATATAAGACCAGAAAATTTTAGCATCAGCCATAATAGAATTTTCAGTTTTTAGCATATATTCGTTATAGCATAATTTCGATAACGTATTACATTTCGCGCGCAAATTAGAAAAAATTTTGTAGTCGGAATTTAGTTTAGATTTTTTGTAAGTTACATGTGCAGTTTTTTAAGCCGAATTAAATTTTTAAGTTCAGTAGAAAACCATATGGGAAAGTTTGATTCAAAAATATATTTTATCGGAACAAAGAAATCAAAAGTATATATAAATTAAATTTTTTGTTTTTGGATATTAAAGAGCAGTATTTAAGCTTTAATTTGGTCCTATGCGGACAGATTTACTGTTTCGGTATATGGTTTTACATTCATTCAAAAAATGCCAAAAATGTATATTTTGCGTATTGAAACGTAAATTGCTTGAAAACTAGAGCCAATCCAACATTTTCAAGGTCAAATTCGGATTCTACGGACGAAATCCTATAAGAATTGGCTTCCATTGGTTGGGCCACAAAATTTTGATGGATATTTTTACAAATTAATTTATGGCAACTCTCACATGTACCTAATGCCACTTCACTGAAAGAAATTATTCGTGATTACTGTGAGTTTTAAATTTAATTCTTTTGCTATAAATATTTTTTTTCTTATGCAAAAGATATTTTGGTTGGAATGCCGCAGAAACAAGTGCACTTATCCTATATGATGTCACAAAGTTTCGCGAAAATCGATCTACTTGAATTTGCAAATCATAATATTTCTGAAGGTAAAACGGCCCATAATTAAAAAGAATACTGACAAAAGTAACGTGTATTTAGATGCTTGTTGCTCACAGAAATTGAAGCCCATGCATGTTTTAGTTTCTGCGATAGACCAGAACTTAAAGATAAGTAATCAAAATAAATAATTATAGTTTAAAGGTATGTCAGTATGTTTAAAAATAATTTTTTTCAAAATTTGGAACTTAGTTTTTATATAAAGTATTATGTATATAAATATAAAAATTTTATAAAGTATTTATTACTTGAGAAAATATATTTTCTAAAGTAATAAATAATTTCACAAAAGCGCAGCAACTGATGCATTTACACAATATTAAAAACAATTTTTAATAAAAAGTTAGATCGTAAGATAAGGTTTGAAGACGTATCTATGAATAACCAGAGTGGCCTTTAAAATATAATTGTTAGAAACCTTTGTTTAATTAACAAATTATTTCATTGCTTGCATAATAATAATAATAATTCTAAATAGTTTTCTTTACTTACAAAATTAAAGATTATTAGTTTATTTTAAAAATGATAATAAAACTCAAATTACACAAAAATCCTTGTCGAAAATTTCCAATATGATTTTCGGAGGGAACATTTTCAAGTGATCTCTCGTTCCGTACAACTCGACAGGAGGGAAAATGAGTGTTTGATCCCAGAAAGGGTCGAGGCTTTGTTTAATAACCTGTCAGTTACACAGTGACTGAATAATAATAATACTGTTACATTAATTATTAGATGCGATAAATTTACTTTATATTACTGCATATAGGCGAATAATAATTATTATTTATGCTAATTTCAATAATAAATAACAAATCATTAAAACATATAAAGATTAATGAGAAAATCTATAATGAAGAAAATCTATAATTTTATTTCGAAAAAATAAATTTTGTTTAATTAAAATTTAATAAATTAGTTAAATTAGTTTTGGAAATTAATTAATTATTGTTTTATAGTTTTATACTCCTGCCCTATTGGCCTTACGCACTTCGACAAGAGTCCCCGAGAAATACTTTTTTGGATTAAGCATAACCATTCTACTTAGAAATTTTCTATATATTAACCTAATTTGCGTCTACAGCCGACTTTATTAGGAGTACTCGCATTACGCCTGGACCACCCGTCAATGGGTTTTCTTGCCAGAGAAGAGGGAAACTGTAGAAAACCTCTCCTGAGTACAACCGGTTTATCGACAGTCGAGTTCTAATGGTGTGTACCGGACAATAATCGACGGTGCACATCATTATACCTCGACGTCAAACCTCCCGCTCAGATTGTCTCACGTGCCGGAAAAATACCAAGCCAAGTGGGCGCGAACCAAGGGTACTTATACCCTTGGTCCTTAAACGACCGCCAACGCCAGGCATCTATCCGACTGAGCTAATCTGTCGGTTGAAATTAATTAATTATAAAAACAATTAATAACAATTTTTTCAATAAAACGATAAACAATTTGTTGAATACAGCCATCTCTCAATAATAATTAAACACTCAGAAAAAATTATATGTTTGAATTAAATACTTGTTTTATAAACCTTCTTTTTTGTTTACTTTAAATAAAAATTTTTTAACTTGAGTAAACATTTATTTGATTTAAAAAAACATATGGTTCAGTTAATAAAATTTGCGCTTGAAGAAAGAATTTGGTCATCTAAAGCAAATGTTTAGTTAACATAATTTAATTTTTTTTATTGTCCCATAATGATAGAACGTCCATGATGCCTGCTGGCAAACATCAATGTGTCCTTTTCTATAAATGTGTTCAAAACCTAATATCTCTTGAAGGAATTAACGAAAATGAATACTTCTTTTATAAAAAAATAATAAATACGGGGTAGAGGAAAATTATAGAGAAACAAGGATAAAAAATTTTTAATTTAAATTGAAGGAAAGGTAATTTAATCGGCTTTTGGCAGGCCAGAGTATAATGTGCGGTGTTTCGGCTTTCCAGAGTAGCAGGTCGCAGGTGTTTGTCTACTTGGCCTTCCAGCAGGCCAAAGTAACACGCGAAATACGTTTGTCTATTTGGACGTTCTGTGATTAAGATTTAATTTATCGAGAATATATAGCAAAGAACAAAATGAAATAATTTAATTATGTTATTAGGGCGTACCATGGCTCCATGCACTGACGAAATTTTGATTTTACTTATACTTTGTAATTTGATAGTGTTTTAGGTTCTAAATAAATGTGCCAAAAAGTTTTGCAAAATTTTTAATATTTTGCAAGATATTTGCAATCATGTAATTTCAACATGTTAAAGATCAATTTTGGATACTTTAATTTATTAATCAAAATTTTTATTTTTACAAAAAACTTAGTATTAACCATTTGCTGAACAAATTAGTTAAACACAAAAATTAAAATAAAAATATTTTAAGGTAAAACGTTATTTTCCCTTCGAAAATAATTTATTAATTTAAAGGTAGTGGACCCTTTCTTAAGTTGTTATTGTTCAACAATCCCGGATAGACGGTATTTATGTTTAAATAAAGGAATAAAATAAAAAGACAGGTGTAAAAAAAATTATTGTAATAAAACACTACAATGTGTGTGTAATGTGATTCTCACAGTTTATTCAACTTTAAATTTTCCAAGATTAGGAATAATAATGTGTATTTCTATATTTTTACATGTATGGATATTTGGCATAATTATGCCAAATGATTAGCTTACATTTATTATTTTTATAATGTTTTTATCAATAGTTATTGCACATTTTCCCTCCCTAGGTGTTTTAAGACCTTGCCGTTGGTGAGAGGTTTTGCTTGAGGGGCTCTTACCCAGCGGGAGGCTACTTCTCGATATCTCTCGTGGGGACTGAGGGGCGAACCCTTCAAAATGATTGGGCTTCATATATTGAGGACTGCAAGGCCTCCATGGAGTGCTTTCCCACCTCTTATGGAATATATGAAGAGTTGGAACTCGCAGCGGAATATCTGCGAGATTCGATTATCTGCTCTTTTGAAAGAAGCTGTGTAGCCAAAAAAGTGTACTCCAACAGGAGTAGTAAATGGTGGAACTCCTGTTTGGAGAGACATAGGCAAACAGTAAGAAAGCTTATCAATAAAGCCAAGAAACGTAAGAATCAACAAGTATGGGATGAATATCATGCCGCTTGTAATTCTTACAAGAAAGAGGTAGAGAAGGCACGGGGTATCAGCTGGAGGAGCTTTTGTGAGGGAATCGAAAGAGTACCAGAAGCATCAAGACTCCATAAGGTACTAGCTAGAGACCCAATGGCCAAACTAACTACCATTAAGTAAAGAAATTAATTAAGACTTTAGAGAAAAATTGGAGAATAACTATGGCGTGGGACCCAGAAAGGCCCGAGGAAATCGGGAACACTGGAAACTAGCAGCCAAAGTTGTAACTCCGGAAGGAATTGATTAGGCAATAGGCACTTTCAAAAACCATTCAAGGCCTCAGGGGGAGACGGTATATATCCAGTTCTTTTGCAAAAGGGATTGGAATGTATTAGGCTACCCCTGTGTAAAATTATGAGAGCGTGTATAGCTCTTGGTTACACACCGACGTCTTGGAAAAAGACGAGGGTTGTGTTTATTCCGAAGGCCGGTCGGTCAGGGTATACTGCTGCAAAGGACTTCAGACCAATCAGTCTAACTTCTTTTATATTAAAGGCGTTAGAGAAGCTGGTGGTTAAGTTTATCAGACAGGAGTGTCTTATGGATTATCCTCTACACCAGGGATAACATGCTTATAGAGCACGTTTCTCAGTAGAAACAGCCCTCCATTCTGCAGTAGGTAGAATAGAGGGCCAAATTAGCAGTGGTGGCTATGCGGTTGGTACCTTTCTTGATATTGAAGGTGCCTTTCCTAACACCTTTAGCAAAGTTATCTGTAGGGCAGCCAGGAAGCATGCTTCGCGAAAGGGCCCTTGAAGCGGAGTATGGTAAAGCTAGGGTAACAGGCCTTGTCTCAAAATGGTGCCCACAAGAAGTTCTCTCTCCTTTATTGTGGTGCTTAGTGGCAGATGAGTTAATTAGAAACCTCAATAGTCAGGGATATTATACGCAAAGTTATACTGATGATTTCCTTATAATTATAAGAGGACACTCAATAAGAGAGTTATAAGAGGGTCTCACCCTCATAGAACTTACGAAACGTGCACTTAAGATTGTCAAGGATTGGTGCAATCTAACTGGACTTTCTGTAAACCCAGAGAAATCGAATATAGTAGTTTTCACAAGAAAATATAAGGTACCGAGTTTGAAGAATCCGATATTTTATGGAAAAGAAATTTCTTTTTCTGAATCGGCTAAGTACCTGGGAGTAATCCTGGATAATAGCTGATTTGGAAGGAACATTTCGAATATCAGTATAGAAGGTTCTGTACTGCTTTTTGGGCGTGTAGAAGGGCGATAGGGTCATCGTGGGGACTTAGGCCTTGTATGGTCAACTGGCTCTATCAGATGATTTTAAAACCCAGGTTTCTTCACGCGGTGGTTGTTTGGTGTTCTAGGACTCAACTGATAACGGTTAAAGAGAAACTGGACCAACTGCAAGCAATGATTTTCAGGAGTATTACGGGGGCTATGAGGACCACGCTAATAGCTTCGTTGGGATTCATGCTAGCCGAAGTACCTCTGCATATTGCTGCGGTGAAAAAGGCGGCTCTTACTATGAGCAGGTTAACCGCGCAGGGAAGGTGGAATTTTGGTGGTATACACACCAAGCTTCCACCCTCAATTCTATCAATCAGAATTCGACAAAAGGACGGTTTTTTTATTAATAAAGCATTTTTTACAAGGTTAACGATTGGGCATAATTTTATTGTGTCATTTGAAGAATAAGAACAGAAATTAAACTTATTTTAAATTTTTTAACAGTCTCTATTATGAATAATTTGACGAAGTATTGAAATTTTCACTTCTACAACTACAAAAACAAAGACTCTAACATCAATATCTCTGGTACTTCTGGGAAGCTATTCAGATAAGAATTGTTTACAGTCCAGGGCACCTTAAAGATGAAAAATCAAGAGGTTTTAAATTTTTCCACACTTCCATTTTCAAAATACTGATTACTTTTGCAAATGACCGACAAAATGGGCCCTTTTCTTGTTTCTAAAGAACCAATGAAATCAAACAGTTAAATTATCGATAAATTAATGAAAACCGGATGATTCGACTTGTCAAAACATGTAGATTGATAATAAAAAAAAGATTTTGCTCCAAAATTACTAAATCGCGATTATCTCGAAAACTAGAACCGACAAAATGGGCCCTTTTAATGTAGACGTACACATATAATTGCAAATATCTTGAAAAATATTAAAAATTTTGTGGCACACTTATTTAGGACCCTAAACACTATCAAATTACAAAGTATAAGGAAATTAAAAATTTCGTCAGTGCATGGAGCTGATACCGGTCACATGTATGTAAAAATTCCGCGAAAGACAACACCACTGCACAAGTTGAGAACCCTTCTTTTGAAGGTCTCAACTTCGTGAAAATGTGGTATCTTCCCTTGGGTTGACTTTTTCGACATCGACATGTAGAAAAAATTAGTCTAGCTGGGCCTTACTCGTCGATTTCCCTGACCGCGCGCCTTTCTCTGTCTTTTCTATCTCTGCCTATATCTACTCTACGTTTCCGCTTTTCCTGTTTCTCCTTCCTCCCTAGCAAAGATCCAAAGGCCCAGCAACCACTATAT